ATTAGATGATAACCTGGGCAAGCCTGAGCAAGCCCGAACTGTCATCCCTCACATAAACCACAGTTGCAAAATTAGTTTAAGGTCAAACCACGATACACTATTAATATTATAACTAATAATTCAAATAATAATGATTCACATATACAACCAATAATAGAATGATAACACATATGTACACAACCCATAATTAGTAACACATACCTAACAGAATAATAATGAATAATGAATCTTTGATAGTTTTAATCCATCACACTACTCTAATGACAGAGACATATAGACAACTTTATTGCCAGTACCTTGGACGTTGATGAGGCAACTTGTTACCAAAAGCTGAGAGTTTCTCTACTTTTTTCTTATGTTACCCAACTAGATGTACATGTACATGTACATCAAAGGTCTGATGTGTTGGGCTTTATAAATTTTTAGTGATACATACATGTACATGTACGTTGCAATCATAGTTATGCAATATATGTGTACTAGCTGTTACATGTACATGCATATCATGTAAATCATGTACATTTTTGTAACTATTATTTTTTTTCCTTTCAGAAAGCAAGAGAGAGGGTGTATGGAGGAAGGCTCAGAGACTAAGTCAAATGAAGCACCTATGGTGTGTGGGCTCACCTGCTGAGATTCACCTCAGTAATTATGTGTTGCTTGTACATGTACTGTGATATTATATATAAAATAAATTTGAAAAACTTGATTGCATGATTTTGAGTAAACTGCAATTACTGGTATTTACTAGTCTCGCGCAGCCAAACCATTCCCCAGCCTACAGTCATTTACTGGGGAATGGTCTGGCTGCGCAAGACTATAGCCAGATCCTTCAACTGCTGCTGCAATTGGAGGAGAAGTAATAGAGACAAGAGAAGATGTGACCATATAAAAAAAGAAACCAACTTATAACTCATCTATTGAAGTACATACTGTACATGTACTCTTATGACTTGAATTCTTAACCTTTTTATTACAGAATTTTATATTGAAGTTACCTGGTGTCAACTTTAAGAACTACAGGTTTGCCTTTTGAGGGAATGGCTTTTCTATTATGTACTCAACATTTATAAGACCATTTTTCGTTCCTCTCCTCTATTTGTGTGCATATTAATGCTATGTAATGTTTGTTTATTGCAGATACATAATGAATGAAGTAAAGGACATGCAAGAGTTGTCAGTTTAAGTGAGAAAGAACTAGAGGAGATATTAGGGAATGATACTCAACTACACTGTAAAAACAAAAAGTTAGAATAACCCCTGCTTGGTTACTTTCACCAGTAAATTGAATAGTTATTGTAACCATTATTTTGTTATCTTAACTACTTTTAGGTTAATTTTAATCTGAGGAGTTA